AGCTACAAATCTTCCTTAAATTCTGATGATACTTAAGGTCTGTTTTTTATTCCTGCACCGTGTGCATCAGTTCAGGAATAGTGCAAGAATAAAGAACAGACTTTTATGGTAGATGCTCCACAGCTAATAGCTGCATTGAACAGAAAAAGCAGCTTTGCAACTGTTGTAAAATTCTTGAATAGGATTGGAATATAATTATACATTTAGATCCAATGAGGAACTAAGGGCAGGACCAGTCATATTAAAGAATTTTACAACAGTTGTAAAATTTTTTCTGCTGAACCAATAACAATATATATTTTGATATTATACTTATTGATTCCTTTTTGAAACTTTTAATTCTGCAAATTTAATTTCAATGCTACCTCCAAGCTGTAAAATTAAAAGTGTTTTTGTTTTAAACTCCTAGTTCAAAATTTTCAAAGGATTCATAAATACATTTTTATTTCGGATTTCCAGCATTTTGTTAAAAGTTTTGAATAATATAAGAGTTCTAACAAAAAATTTTTTTTAACATTAAGACGCTAAACATTTTAACATTTGAGACGTTAAAATCAACACTAAGAGTTTTTGTAATTTTCAACTGCAATTCCTTAATTTTACTCGCGCTAAAAACATGTTTATCTAGCCAATTCAAATCATTTACTCTTGATAAATTCATTGTTATATATTGTATGATCAACTTGGGCGTCTTAGCGAATAATGGATACCACTTATCGTTTCAATTGTGAGAAAACAATGTTATTTATCTCCGCAAAGAGAGGGAAACTAACGGATGCGAAACGGACATTTCGCACTGTCGTATCGACGTGATTCGCGTGCGAAAGTTAATTAAAGTTAGCGATGGTCGAGAACACGATAGATTCCAATTGTCACTATTATATAGATTCGCATCCACAAATTCGTGAATCACTATCGAAAATGGAATTTTAAAAACGGACGCATTTTCGTGAAATATTCGAATATGGATTTCGAGAGGTGTGATTCGACACGATGTAGAAATTTTTGACGTCAGTATAAAGCTAACATACGTTTTTGTATAAACGAGCTGTAGCTTTGAGAAGATATTTTTCACTTTTCCAAAGCTATCACGGAAGATGTAACGCAGATACATGTGCGAGACAGCTTCTTCTTTTTTCCGTCCAGCTGCGACCGTACAAAAGCTTTGTGTGATGGCTGTTTTTCGAATTACGGTCACTTTCAACTGAAAGAAACTTTGAACGAATAACTATACCAAAACAGTCCAAGTTTTCAAACAAGTACATTTCAAATTTACGATGTTACAATTTGCAATATGTTATCGTATAGTATTATAACGAAACAATTAAACGAACGAAAAAATAGATATATTCTTCTCTCGAAAAGAGTTTTTACAGAAAAATATAAAAATGCGTAAACCCCAGTTCTGTCGCTTTATATCGTCAATGTAGCGTTTTTGTGCAAACGAACTGATGGAACTTTTAAAATATTTGTTGCTTTTCCAAAAGTATTGCGGAAGGTTCTAAAAAACGATATTAAAAACTATGTGCTGTATTAAAATAATGTATACAAAATTATTTTTAGCTATTAATACACTGCGACATGGTACTTAAATTGTGCAATAAATATTGTAATAATTCATCGAAAGGAATTAACTTATTGATTTTAAATCACATGCTAACACCAATTTTATCAAGTCGGGGGAGAGTCGACGTCTTTCGTAATGTCATTGAACCTCACGGTTGTTCCTTATCAGAATGATAAATAGAAATGAACTAAGAGCATTATTATATACTCATCAAATTTCCCATTATTTCGCAACTCTCAGTAAATATATGCTGTTTTGTTGGCAGTTATCTGCAGTCATCGTCGACAACAGACTTTCCGTTGCCTTGTGCGCAGTTAAATTTCAACACGTGACGATACCGATCTTTTTTAAACCAATGCGAATGCAGCTATCATTATTGATATCTAATTACATACAATAAAATTTTGCTGGAAATATGTGAAGCCATTTTTATGCTTTACGTGCAACATTTCTTACGTAAACAAATTAAATAGCTTCAAATTAAGTAAATTTACAAATTTTGTAAGCAGCCAGAAACTATTTCCCGTTTGTGCGATAAATTAATGTCGCAATTAACTTATTTATCTTTCCATTTCTCGACATTTTCTGTTATTCTATCTTGCCAGCATTGAAAGTACGAGCATACGATTATATAACAATGTCACTTAAATGTAGCCTCCGGATCTGTATTTAATTAACGTGTTAAGCAATGTATTCATGAAAAAAAAAAAAAAAAAACTGTATTTGAATGCGTTTACTTATACTTAACACAATGAATATTAAAAAGTGAAATTCCGCCTGTATTTTATAAACAACGTTTAAAGTCATTTCATTTTTAATTGCGTTTCTCGTTCTTTGCGGAAAGAACAACTTCAACAAATAATTGCTCCGTTCTTGCCATTAAAGAAAATGTGATTTATTTTTATTATAATAATAGAATAGTTATATTGACAAATAACTGCGGTTTTTCTATGCGAAGATAAACAAAAAATGTAGAGTTCAATAACAGATTTTGCTATATAATAAGAATACAATAAAAATCAATTATAATATAAATGAAAATAATTTAATTTATTCCCTCTCGTTTCATGTCTGGATCCATTAAGTTTCATTAATTGTGTTAATTATCTTGTCTCATAATTATTAGTTGCACAGCAGTAACGATGGGCAATTTTTTGCAAAGTTACGAGGATTTTTTATTACTAAACCATATGCTTCATTTGAAATAATCATATCTTCTGTATCAGAGATCATTAGATGTTAACAATAACATTTCAGCTACAATTAGTATTAGTTTGAAAATACTGGAAAGCATGGAAAATTATTAGAATTGTCATTTCAAATTTAAAGAAAAAGACAATAAGCGAGCTAAGAATAGGAACTCAAAGTTAAATCAACATCCAATTTGTGTGCACAATCCGAAAATATTGTGGAATGCGAGGAAATTTGGAAATCTATATATGTTTTGTAAGACTTTCGAGGCCAAGATAATTGAATTTCACAATTTCAACAAACCATAAGTTTATCGCATGGCACAACTTGAACTGTATACGCCGATGAACCAAAGGCTAAGTTTTTGTCAAGATAATCGTACGAGAATCGTCAATTATTAATCTATCTAAGAAAAAGAATAACATCACAAAATACGTTCCTCCTATTCTACGACTGTGTAAAATTCCTCAGTAGTTTTATTGTATATAATATTAATCAATTTCATTGTGTATAGCATTATTCAGTTTTCAAAAAAATTATTAAACGAATAAATTAATATATCAGTAATTTTCGAATTTATACGAATTTTGTATAAAGCAACTTATTGGTACAACCAATAACCATAGACATAATAGATACAAACTGCGCAGTTTCAATTTTAGCATCTGTGTTCTGTTAGAAAGAATTGAATCATATTAACATCTCTCTTCAACTCAAAGAAAGCTATATAATTCAAGCTATCTCATTTTTTTTTCAAACCGGTAATATATTCCCCATAACTGGTAAAATATTCCCCATAAGAACGTTATTCTATTCTTATATCTATGAATAGGACAAGTTTTTTTTTCTATCAGAACAGTGGCGTTAGATATTGGTATTCAGCTTGTGTAATTTGATAAGTATATCTTAATAGGGATTCGAATACCTCGTATTCTTTTATATAAAATATAAGTTATACTTTACACGCAATTATTAAGTTCGTAGCCATGTAGTTTAACTTTTCCATGAAAACAGTTCATCGACTAAATTCTGACTAAAATCCTTATTTTTCCTGTACAATATATTCGATGAATTTTTTACGACATATATTAATCAAATATTAATCTGCGACACTACATCTATGAATAGTGATATCATCTTTCTAAAATTTTAGCCATGGATTTTCCATTTTAATAATTAATTATTTTCGAATGTGTACAACGAAATGAAAAAATAAATGTTAAATTTAATTTTCTGGCCGTGTAATTAAAAAAAATTTTTACTAAAAATTTTATTAAAAATTTTGCACGGCCAAAAAATTTTATATTAAACTTAATATTCATTTTTAAATTTTGTTGTACATATTCATAAATAATTAATTATTAAAATGGAAAAAAATATGAAATCCTACAAATGAGCCCACACAATCTTACTCAATCAAAACGGATCTTAGTGCTTAATATTTTACATGGATTTTATATACATTTTTCAGTTTCATATGCAATTTGCGCGTCGATCATTTATCGATTTTGAAACATAGTCCTAAACTAAATACGATTTAAATTAGTATACAATTTTAATAATGATAATACGCATTAAATTATTACGTTCGAAATAAAGAAGACATCGTGTAATGGAATAAAGTAATTTTTTTAAATTTAATAATCGTGCGCAACTCGTTACGTGTTCTTATTAGCCTTGAATATTTTTATTATTAATATTAAGATTGAGAATTTGTTTACATTTAGATATATTTTTTAAACTGTTGTAAAGAATTTCTTATGAAAAATATTACCCTAACTAGAATTCGAATCTTGACTCCTTACTATCCGGAAGCAAGTGTTTTCACCAATAATCTAAAAATTTAAATAACAATATTTCTTTAATAAAAAATTCAACTCGATCAACCAGAAATTAAATTTAATATTAATTTTTTTTATTTCATTTTGCACATCCAAAGATAAAAGAGTAATTATTAAAATAGAAAAAGGTAAAAGATTTTAACTCGGCCACAGAATCAAAAGAGAGAGAGAGAGAGAGAGAGAGAGAGAGAGAGAGAGAGCCATGAGAAACTAAACTTGATAGATTCCCTCTTCTTCATTAATTATATCTAAATCTAACTGAATTGTAATTAAAAGTTATTCAGCAAATTACAATCAAATTACAAATCAAGGTGAATGAGACAGAGCGAAAATTAGATAAAACTTCCTCTCGTATGTTGTGCTAGACAATAAACAATAAATTGCACGAGAAAACAACTAACCACCAGTTTTCAAATCCACACCATCCTGGATAGGGATGAGCCATAAGGGGAAGATACCCGTGAGGCCAACCATAGTGCTACCCAGCAGAGAGAATATCCATGGATTGTACGAGAAATATTCCACGATCTCGTGCCAAGGTAGCCATTCGTCGGTGCCTCCGAGGATGTCGCAGGACGGTAGGTATTCCGCATCCGTGCAGTTGTGGGTGCACGCGTACGACGCTACGGCGGCCATATTTGTTGTCGTATGCTCTGTCAAGAAAGATCCTCGCCGTTCCTCGAAAGAGCTCGTGTCAGGAAACGGGTTGTCGATAATAGTAAACGTCGATGTCAACGCCTAACCTGGACGGGAATAGCCTCTCGTGATGAAATCGCGCACGTGGACGACGTCAAACTGATAACGAATCAAAGAACGAATCTCCAGATGCCTACTGGGAGATAACCTCCTCGTTTGCCGAAACAACACTTCTCGACTCGAAGAAGACGATGTTATCGTCGCAACGTGATCGATGAAATTTAGATTACAGGTCCGCAACGACAAGTGAAAGAGCATTCGTCAGAGTCGTGTTATTTTGTTTTTCTTTTCGAACTCTCGTCTCCAGAATTATTCTCCACGTTGGCTCCACACTGCTCATCTATCGGATGGATGAAATTTCGCCGTAGATGATTTGTTAAGACAACGACCGCCGAGCGACCGACTAGCCTACACTGAGGACTGAGCACGGACGCTTCGAATCAGGACGTCGCCGCTGCCTGCCGCTTCGATGGTTCTTTCCGGTCCGTCGTTATTTCATGCCGCCGTGTCGAGTCGCAGACAAAGGCACCACCGACGCCGTGGTGATTAAATGCGCGATCACGATCTCGGAGACGCGCGTCGCGTCCCCTGTTACCCGCACTCGGTCGCTCTCGCTTTTCTTATCACTTCCGTGCTCGATTAGGTTCGCTTCTGCTTCACGTTTGACTGATATCACTGTGAACTACGACACTACGTCGTAACGACTGACGCGCGTTGCGCCGTAGACAGCCCCTTTTATAGCCTGCCGAAGCGAGAGGGAAACGTTCGTGACGTTCGTCCAATGTGTAGGTTAGTTTATACAATGCGAGACTAGCAGAGTAACGGAGAGCATGATACGAATGAGAGAGAGAGAGAGAGAGAGAGAGAGAGAGAGAGAGAGAAAACATTGCGTTCGTGAAGAAAGAGAAAAGAGAATTTGCGGGAGAAGAGGAAGAAAGAGAAAAAGTGAGGATGCGCAGTGGAAGAACGTTCGTTCGAGTTGATAAAGGCGCTGCTTTTCAAAAATGGAAACGCATTTGATCTACTTTTCATCATTCAATCTTTAAGTTTCTTTGATATCAAACAAATTTAAATGCAGCTTGATCTTTTGTTTTCTCCTTCAATTCTTTATTGTCTTACTCAGAGAGATTGAATATGTACACACAGAAAAATCATAAGAATTTTTTTTTCGCATTTGTAAAACTTTATTTTTAGTTCAATTTATATAGAAACGAATTCTATTAGTAATTTGAAGAAATTAAAGTGATTACTCAATTTATTTTCTTTTTATCAAGTAATGATTATTTTTAACAATATTTTCTTGATAATAATCTTAAATATACTTGTTACAAATTTGAGAAAAACTCATTAAAATGTCCTTAAAATAAGAATATACATTTTTTTTTAATTAGAGGAAAAAGTCGCCGATATTAATATAGATCTTTTAAAAAAACATATCCTCTTATTTCTTGGAAACTATTGCATTTCATTAATACTGATAAAAACATGTTTAGATAACACAGTTCACAACAAGAAAATCTGCGGCCAGCAGAGCCAGTTATTTTCTTAGTAAATTTGAGTTCGTTGAATGTAAATCCACTAATGAAAAAAACCTATTACAGATTTTTTAGATAAATCGGGTAATATGAGTCAAAAACAGCGGTTTTTCACCATATTTATAATCTTTTTTTTGGCTAAATTTCATTTCTCAATTTTATTAACGCTACTTTAAAGAACTGTTCCTTAAAAGGAATTTTTATTTTTTATTGTGTGACTTTTTTCATTGAGTTACGAATGTTTTCTAAATAAAATATAATATGGCGGATCCAAATTGACGGATTAAAACTGAAAAATAGATAAATTTGTAAAGAGATTTTTTTTTTGTCATATTTATCATTTTTACGTGGTTAAATGAAATTTTGACCTTTAATTTTAAAATCTGACGTGATAGGCATTTTTCGCTGGCGAATTTGGATTCAACGACCTTGAATTTATTATGAAGTACTGGTCACGGGAAAAAGGATCAAATTTTGTCGAACAGTGTAATTAAAGACGTATAAAAGTTCATAATGTTAGGTGTGGGAAAAAGTTCGTGGCGTTTTTCCCGTTAGATGGTATTAAAAAAACGCCACGAACTTTTCCCACACCTAATATATTTATGGCTTGTTTCTATATAAAATGAGCTAAAAATGAATTTCTACAAATGCGAAAATAAAATTCTTATGATTTTTCTTTTGCAAATTGCACAGTTTAATAAGAAAAATTAAACAGCCAATTATCTTACTTTATATTACGTAGTTTAAATAATGGTTATATTATTAATAATATTACATTGTTTGTATACTGATAAAAACATGTTTAGATAAACATGTTTTTATCAGTATCTTAAATCAGTTCTATTTATATTTTTTCTTTTATATTTTTTTTATAATATGACTTTAAATATAAAATCGGGGTGCAGTGCATATCTGACATACATGCCAGCAGCATGTCTATAAGATAGAGCTAATTTAAGCTAATTTAATCTTTATAGTGCTGCATTATAGTGCTGCAGTGTCAAATAACCTTATCGAAGCTGTAGATGATCATATATTTCAATATTTATATAGGAAAACTTAAAAAAAAATTGCCACATTACATATTGCGTCTTACAAAGGCTTCGATCGATTTGGACGCTTTAAGTAACTATTTTGTAATCATCATTCTGTCTTTACCGTTCATTAGATGTAAGAATAGAAGTATTGAAAAACCGCACTTTAAATAGCATAAAGTATGCACATAAATCAACAAAAAAATTTTATATTAAACTAAAAAAATTCTAGAAAATATTATATACATTTACATTCACTTGTATTTGTACAGATCCTGTAAAAGAAAAAGAATAGGAATAGGTAGCATTATTGCTTACACTGAAAAAAAAAAAATCTTAATTTCAAAGAAATATTTCTTTGAAAGTAAGATTTTGTTTTCAATGTTTTGTATCAGTTATGCGATCTATTTTGTCAGATGATCATCTTTGTTTAAAATTATAAAAACTGTTTTAAAATTTTAAAAACTGTTTTAAATTTTAAAATTATAAAAACTGTTAAATATTCAAGAAAAAATTCTGAGAGAAAATACTTTCTAAATACTAGTTTGTATTTATCTCTAAAATTTTATTTTTGCTTTTGTTTAAGAAATATTGTTCAAAAACAAAATAGTATATCGGTAGCAGCGTTTTTCCTATATAAAATTGATGAAAGAAACGATTTTATAATAAATAAGCAAATCGAATTTGTTTTAATTTAATAATTTTGATTGAATATAAACTCTTACTAGAATTCAGAAAATATTTTGAATAAATTTGATGTTTATGATGAACTATGATAAATTTGCAGAAATATGAAATATATAAGCAAGCAATTATTTGCGTATAGTATGTATTTTTTTCTCTGCTGTGCATGCGTGCGTGCGTGCGTGCGTGCGTGCGTGCGTGCGTGTGTGTGTGTGTGTGCGTGTGCGTGTGTGTGTGTGTGTGTGTGTGCGTGTGTGTGTGTGTGTGTGTGTGTGTGTGTGTGTGTGTGTGTGTGTGTACAGCTTGTGATCCGAAGACGTAATTCTCCTATAATGCGTTCCTCGGCTTCGTCCAAACGTATTGTACTTTGAACTAGACCATTGTCTTTTAAGACTATCTTTTTTTTACACAATTATAGATAACTTTTTGATGCCCACAGTTGATACTGTCTAGGTTTGTCCATAATGTTTAATCGTTGATAATGATTTCGTCTCATTTAGACAGGAACGATAATTCTTATGTATCATACGCACGCTTCGTAAAAAAAAGAATGGTGATCGAAAAACGCCTTGACAATAAAACTTGGTGCAAAATCGATTTTTTGTAAATTTTTATTAAAGAAAGAAATATAAAGTAACATCTTTCTGATGTTGTCACTGAGTTTAATGTTAAAATGTATATTAAATATATTTTAAAGTTTACAAATACTTGTCAAAATAGGAAAAATTAAACTGTGAATTCATTATACACGCTTTCTAATGGGTGATCATCGAAGTATTCATCGCAGCGAATTTTTTCTGCATTAAGCATTGAACATGGAGTAGCTTAATTATTTACATAACTTGTTTTGATAATGGAATATATTTTGAAAATAAAATGCAGTAATCGATTCGATTTTAAATAAATACATGCCGAAACGTTTTATTCTTCTTTTTTCTTTGTTCTTTCTTATATTTTCGATTGTTAGTTTCTTATACGATTATTTTTAGATAAATGTGATTCAAATCGCTGACAAATTCAACTTATAATTTAATGTTATGTGCACTAAAACCTTTGTTGTTTTTTCAAATATAACAAATTTTGAATTACAGAGAATGTTATTAATAAGCAAAGAGACTAATTCTGATATATATATATATATATATATCATATA